GGCGGATAGACGAGTTCATTTCAGGACAAATTCAAAGACGATCACTGACAAACTCAAACTCAAACAAAAGCTACCGTTGACAAGAAGCGTTGTCCTTTGTTTGGCTGAGGCTTATAGGTGACAGTGCCATTCAGCTTACAGTGGGGTAATCTCTAAGCAGATCCTAGGGTGGCAAAAACCATACGCCTCTCTGGCGAATGGATACTGCCTGGCCAATTTGATACTGTCTTTTGTCACCCTAGGATCTGCTTGGAGATTAACAGTGGGGTGGGTAAGAGAAATCAGAAATGCGTGGCATCACTTCGCTCGTTGGAGTTCTAAGAACAAGGGTCAGACAAGGTCCCTCCAAACTTTTATGTTTGGGGTCCATTCTACTTTGAGATGACGAGTCGCAGTGTTATAACATGCTGTCTCCTATTCCCGATCATGATAGCGGACAAAACATTGAGATGAAAACACAAGTGAATGTCTTGCCCTGGAAACATCAGGAAAGCCCCCACACGTGTTAGGTGATATATCTGTATTCCTATCTGTCTAAACAAATACACAGGTATGTAATAATTACTGCAGGAATATTCCTGCTGGCCGCCCCACCACCTGTCTTCCCTCCCCTACAGGTGCTGTGTTTGTATAAGGACATGATAAGACGACTCGACAACAGTCAGGCAGACAGTCATGTGTTTTCCTATGATCTTATTGATAGATAAACACTTTTTTCTGTGTCTCGTACTGTTCCGTGCCGTTTTGAGGAAGGTGCTTTCATCTCTCACATAATACTCTGTGTCGCTGTTTTATCCATTATATCATTCTGATTTTCAGTGTCTTTTAAAGAAACCCCTGCCTTCATGCTGGAGACACCATGTCATATCATGTTTTGTTTTTTAACGTCATGAAACGAGGTAGATCAAATGACCAAATGATCAAATCTGCCCAACAATCTAGTTGACATTTGCGTACGTACGCATTTTCTTGCAATCGTTTGTAGATATAGCAGTCCGTCCTTAACCTAAATGTACTACATAGACTGGTTTCCTATCAAGAATGGATGAACACGCTCTCACAAACTATTGTGTTACAGACGCTCTCAGGCTACGCTAAAAACCCCACCGACTGGTTAACAGTTGTATAATGACTTCCCCATCCCAGCAGCATCTTATTCACAAAACGATGATCGAAAATTCAATCACGAAAAGCGTGGCGACTCCCCTTTGTCAGCTACCGTGTCTTTTCAGGGACAAGCCTCCTCCACAAGGCGGGGTAATTAAGCTGCGGTCCTGAGGGGCTCCGGTGAGAAGGCTTCTCCGTCAGAAATCCCGCGGGCGGAGATCTCAAGTACCTATAGGAGATGGCGGGCCATTGTACGGGGAACCGCGCACACGACAGGGATATAATGACTCGGTGGTAGAAAGGTCTCATTGTGGGTTGCATTGGGAAGCTTTCGGTTCCTCGTCATTTTGTCTTTTTTACCCGTTCCCATCCCTGTGATTACATTTTTTCTGTTTTGTCAGATGTTGTTGTCTTTAATTTTTGTCCATTGGTGCCGATGATATAAGTGTGTATTTTGTTGTATGTTGAAACAAAAAACGTTTGGTTCAATAGCACACCAAACGACCAAGCTTTCGGTGTGACATTTGAAGTTAACCGATAAAAACACGTAACGTATCGGGTCTATAGCGGAGTGGTATGCTCTGATTTGATATTTTAAGCGTTTTGAGTATATTTCACACAACTGTATATATTTTGTTGTATCCCGAAAAAGACTTTCAGTTCAAGTGCGTAATATGACAGATTTTTGATGAAATAGTTTTGAGCAATGTCCTTGCTTTGAGATAAATCAATTACCAGACCAGGTGAAGACCGTCCTTGTAGCGGAGTGATTACGTTGTGATTGGATATTTTACGCGCGTTTTACACCTACCATGAGATTACCAATCATGTTGTTATATGCACATTGGAATATTTTGAAGGCCGGTCCATTACGTATATTCATCACTTAATGTGTCCGCTGATGGCAGTTTTATTTTGATGTGTGTAATCGGAGAGACATGACGGGAAGATTAGGGGTGATGAAGCCGTCTATCATGTGGCCCGGGGCGGGGTTGTGTCCTGGCGACGAGCGGGACTAACTTCTAATGTACTCCCGGGAGGCCGGGCGAGCCGCTCCGTCCGTGCCGGACTAGACCCGGCCAGCAAAGGTCAACGAGAACGCCAATGTTACGGCGTAAGTTTTGAAAGGAAACGAGGGCAGAGGTTCCCGTTTGCCGGGCGGCCACGCGCCACAGATGCGGCGGGCGCCCCGGTCGCATTCCTGCCGCGACCCGCCCCGAGTCCCCGCTCGCTCGGCTCTCCCTTAACCATCTGCCGTGGAAAACCACCAAGTAATCAATCGCCCCCTTTGTCATGTAGAATATGTTGTTTTCTTATATACAAGCCTCACAAAGCCCCGCGTGCTGCTATATATTTTGGTCTATTTTCCACTCCATTTTGGGAAATTATCTCTGGCCCCCGACAGCAGGTTGGGTGCCCGGCCGCGCCGACCGACACAATGACTTTGATCGAATAATTGTGTTTTTCGGCTCAAACCCAATTTTATGTTCCTAAAAGGCTTCAGGCGATTCATAAATGGGGTAGATTGAGGATAAAAGCGACTTTCAAAGGAAATGGGGTCCTGAAAATGTAGAGAACACGATGATAATTGAAAATTGAGTCGGGAACAAAGACGAGTAGGCAGTGGTGGCAATTAGGCTTCCACATGGGACTTGGCGAGGCGAACAGAGAACAAAGAGAAACATCCTAAACACCAAGTCCCACGGGACGGTTTGACGTCTCTGACTGCTCCTGCTCGGTCACGGCTGGCACAGATAGCCGTTTTACCGCGCTATTACCGAGCGGTCTTCACATCGGCGCAGTGTCGGTGACCTGGCGCGTTTTCGTCGCTTTTTTTCAATTTGTGCGCCGTGGCGGTCTGGCGTTTTTTATTATTCATGACCAGAAATTGAAAACACACCGAAGAATCATTTTAGGACCGTGTTTTGCGAAATTGAGTTATTATACGCCATTTTGCGGGGCCGTGAGCTGACGGCTCCCCGGAGGACGGAGCACGAATGTGGCAGGTCCTGAAACCAGCTGGCGGGGCGGCGGGGAGGGATGCACCCCACCGCGCCAAGACTGCTACTTTAGCGGGATCGGCTCAGCGGTGCCTCCGAAGGCCTTAATTGGATTGTACGTTGGCAGTATTGACTTCGATGCTGCAGCTGTGTCTGTGGCGGCTTTGTGGCATGGCGCCACGCGGAATAAGCTTGGTCCGACGCCTAGTCGAAACTTCTGTACTTCGACGCTTTTTCCCTCCTCTGTCTACATAGCTTATACACCTGTGTGGCACCAGGCAAACGGGTCTGAGCCGGAAGTCAACAATAAACAGCAACAATTCTATCATAAATCTACCTACAACTAAGTATAGTTCAAGGCCTTGTAGCTTATAGGATTATGAGAACACGTATTACAGGACTAAGGTGACACGAATAGATTATGGTTTATATACACATACTTAAACGGATCACAATTTTCTGGCGTCATTTTGGACTCGGTAATTCTAGTTTCCGTAGAAAGACTTGATACCTCGGTGAAAAGTGATATTTATCTCGGACTGGCGAGCTTGTCACAAAACACGTGTCGACAAGAATATCTAATCTGCCTCAAGGGCAGGAGGGCGTAATTCACATGTACGGCCTGTGTCCGGGCACAATAGCCGGCCTGCAAATCCTCACGGACAACTACAGAGTCATCAACCTGTCGGCTAGCCTACACAACTATCTGTGCAGAAGCCTACAGAAAAACCTATTCAAGGGTTAATAGACTATCATAGAAGGTTTAGACCTCAGGAAATTGACTGCGAATGCGTGGATTAATAGTTTTATTTCTTTTCAGGTCCTGTGGTGGGGTCGGACTACAGGTAGTTTGTGAGTTCGGTGGGAGCGGGCCCGTACCTGGACTCACACGTACAGGTGTTCCATTCAGAACCGCCAGTCGGCTCACGACAGGCACACATGAAATGGCCGTAATTGCCGACATAATTTGGGGGTACTGGTTTCTATATTCGTGTTACATGGCTTTGTGGATGACTCACAGTTGTTCATATTTGGTTTGATTGATTGATTAGCGAAGTCACGGCCTCGTCCATAATTCATACATGTCTCTGATGGACGGTTTTGATGTCTACACGTAGCCGCGTGGTTACGACCGTGTAACACCATCCACTGGAACGGACAGATCGCTGGGGAACACAAACACACAATGACAAGAACAACGGATCGCCCATTGTACCTGACAGCTTACCATGTATCGACTCATTTGTAACGGTGTTAAAGATAAACTTTCTTTGTCAAGTTGGCCGCAGGTGTCGTAAATCAACCGAGGAAAACGCCAAACTGTAACTTCATACTGTTATCTATTAGTATAGTACATGTTAGATGCTTCGTTAGAGGGTTACGTTTATATAACAGATGTGAACAAAATAGTTTTTCTTGTAGATTTTTGCTGCAACGGTCGTATGTTAAAAGGAAGTGAATAGAAGTATTGAATTAGCGGGATATATTGTTAGGATAAGCAAGGACATCGCCTCTAACTAGCCTGCATTTTTGAACAAAAAGTATGTACACAAGTCTTACAGAGCAAAACACTATTTATTGAACAAGACCCTCTCCTGTAAGGCACTTCTTTTTTTACAAGCACTTATTGTTCATCACAAGTTTAAGCGAACAGTTATATATCATAGAAAGGTAGAACAAACGCATATAAAACTCACAACGCGAAATTATATAAATACATGTATAACGACGTATAGAAGTAGTAACGTACGTGGCAAACACAGAAAGCCACAAGTCGAAAGTACAGCTCGCTAAACTACATTTTCCGATAGTAAAATGTTGAACTCGCGAGATTACGTTTTGAAGTGATTGGTCATTAATACTATTATCCTGATGAAGGCGACAGTGGTCGTTGAAAATGTGATCTCTGTGTAATCTTTGTGTTGGAATAAAGTTCAACATTTTACTATGATTACTACCAACACAGATGAACTTTCATGAAAATTACATTTGCTGATAGTCCTTGTAATAAGAAAGAAACAGTCCGGACTAGTTGACGTCTACGTCAGTGTCTGTTGACGCGCTCGTCGTCTGCACGTTCTCGTCGGAGTGGCACTGCGCATGCTCCTCCTCCTCCTCCGTGCCGCTGTGTCCACTGGGCCGTCTGACGCATGCGCGGTGGTGCTGCTGACAGTGGCAGGCGTCCCGTGCCCCTACTGCGGCTGCGCGCGCCTCCTTCTTGTGCTTGACCCTGCGGTTCTGGAACCAGATCTTCACCTGTTTCTCGCTCAAGTTCAGGAACGTGGCGATCTCGATTCTGCGCAGGCGCGACAGGTACATGTTGGCGGCGAACTCCCGCTCCAGTTCCAGGAGCTGCGTGCTGGAGAAGGCTGTGCGCATGCGCCGGCTGTCTCTGGGTAGACCGTCTCCTCCGGCTATACCTGGGAGAACAAGACATAGATGTCATTATGACAACAGTTAAACTTTACGTGAGCAACACACAGTAAGTTGGGACTTACCCCAAATTTTCATAGATGGGTACATAGATGTCAGACTTTCACTGCAAACTTCAGCGTCATGACATATAACAAGATACCGTTACCCCTAGACTTAGTAAAGGAATATAGATACAATACATGTGGGGAGATCCAAAGACACGACTTTTTTCTAACATTCAAGCAGATGCTAGAGGAGAAAATCGCAACCATCTCTGCCTGCCATGCTTGGCGGTTGGAAGGGTTGTGTACAGGTTAATGAAAAGAGGGCAGCTGGGGAATGAAATGTTATGATTTCAACCCAAACATCTGCTTGTAGATCGTATAAGCAACGCTACTTTATCAGTTTATGCACAGTATGTGACAGTCGTGTGTTTGTGAGAATAGTGTGAACGAAACTTAATTCCCCAAATTGAAGTTTCCAAGTCATGCCTTGTTGCGGGTGGTCGGAACACGATCCATCGAATCACAAGTACATTTATATTCCGGTCAATCTCCGACCGTTTCTACACACGGCTAGCGCGGCCCCCAGATGTCTGTACGGAGACGAGATCTCCCTATTGTGTAAACATTGGGGATATGAAGAGAGGTCCTTGTTGTGTTGGGTGGGAAGCGAGTCACCTGTTGCGGGGCATACTGATGTGTAAATGTGCCGGTGCGCCGCTATCGGATCGCCGCGAACCCCCGGGGCAGGCTCCGCCCGTGTAATCGGGATTGTACGGTAGGAGACGACGTGTCGGGGGCGGGCGGGCGGACGGGACAGAAGCTCCGACGGTCCAGAGAACAAGTCCAGCAGCCATAGCTGGCTCTTAGTCCGTTTAGCGAGCTATTAATAAACTTGTTGCAGGCGTACTCGCAATAGTTCGATGCGCCCCATTAGCTCGTCTCAACAGCCGCGCCAGGAATTCTTCCATCTTCCTCTGGCGACAGGATCTTACCTGTCTCCGTCTTCGGCTTCGGCTTGTCCACGCCAAGGATGTCGCCATACTTCGCCGAGACGACGGTCCGGAGCGCGGCATCTTCACGTAGCTGCGCCAGAAAAACGTCCCCCGAACCCAACTGGAGTGGGGGGACGCCGGCTCCTCGGATGGTCTGTACTTTCTCCGCCGCCGAGGCAGCCTGTCCGCCGGTCGCCGATGCCGACCTGCCCTCGTCCCGCTTGTCCTGCGGGGGTGGCGAGGTCGCCGCGGGCTCTGAGGCCAACACCTTCTCTATGGCCTCCACCTCATGCTTGAGCTTCTTCATCTCGAAGATCTGCGTCAGCTTAGCCAACTCCTTCTCTATGGCCTCCACCTCCTGCTTCGTCATCTCGTCATTCTTTAGCAGCTCCGTCAGCTCAGCCAGCTCCTTCTCTAGGGCCTCCATCTCCAGCTTCTTCAACTCGAGCAGATGCGTCAGCTCGGCCTTTCTCTTTTGCAGGGCGGCCATGGCGTCATGACTTTCTGTGTCAGCGATCCCGGAGCAGTCCTTGCCGGCGGTGCCCGGCTTGTGCTGCGCCACATCCAGGTCACAGCCTGGACATTTCTTGGAACGCTTAGGGGCCATACTCCGATGTCTGGAAACTTCAGATGAAAATTTCAAAGCGTTGTAGGAAGAATTACATACTGTTGTATGGAGCCGTGCCCACTGCTGGCACTACCGTCGTGGCTCTGATCTATAATTATAATAGTATAAACAGGAATGGAATCATGACGACTCGGACCATTACCAATATCAACACGGCCCATCGCAAATTTGGTCAACTCGGCCCACCACTCGGGGTCAGGGGTCGAACCGCTAATTACCTGATTTTGTGTCGCCAAAATACTCACTCTTAGTCCGTTTTAATTAGGTATAACAAAATATGAAAAATAGGAGGAAAACTAGACAGGAGGGACAAGAGTTTTCTTCCTTCTTTCTGTAACTTTTCGGCGTTACTGGGTACCATCCTGGTTAGTTCACGTCCTTTCCCACAATCGCTACCGACCAACATAGCCACTGTGGAAGCGACGTAAACTAACCAGCATGGTTCCAAGGCTAGTTGGCTCCGGCCGCGGCTGACATTTTCAAACTGCCGTTTTTGCTCAGGCTTTAATACGTACTTCTGTGTTCTGTAGCTACGCGCAATTGTTTTGAAAAAAAGAGGGCAGCAAAACACGGCAGCAATAAGAAAACTGCACACAATCACTACCAAAGCGGCAATATTAATACACTGTCCACAGTGGGTCCTGTTATGGAGGCTAAAAGAACTTGTGGGTCTGTCAAGAACAGTAACCTCTCCACAAAGAAGCCAGTGCCCTCCTCTCATTGTCCCACATTTGTGTACCGACTGGCGTGTCTCATCCGTTTACATCACAACAACAGGATAACATGTTCTATTGTGGACAAGAGATCCTTGTTTACTGAAGATGACACCGAAGTAATCAAGGGTCATTTTAGATACTGAAGATGTCCCGCGAGTGAAAACAAGCATCTTGTCTTTAAATACGATTAAAACAATTAAGGGGTAATCACTTTATGGACGTTGAAAGAACACGTAGTCAATGTGTAGTGAATACAAAGCTCCTGTCGTCCATATTGTGTAGAATTAATTTGGTATCGTGTAATTCTTATTCAAAGCAGTAAAAATGTCACGATAGTCTGGTGTAGTCGGGTTTTACGACTTTGAATATGTAAGTCCTCAGGCTATATCTGCATTATCTGTGCACACAAAATCTGTTGTAAAATGGCTCGTCCTTGAGCGTCAAATAATAAGGGATACTGGTCCAATGTTAGCAAAAAACAAACAATAGTTTCTCTTCTTATTGTGTTGCTGTTTCATGTACAAAACTGTAAAATCGTTGTTGAAATTAAAAATATAGCTTATAACATGCCATGTCATTGAGACAATGACAAAGGACTGTACATATAGCCGTCGTTCTGTGTACGACTGGGCACCAGGCCAGAACTGTAGTGTAGTGGATACCAGCCTCCATGTACACAGATATGTGACCTCGGAAAGTCCACTCACATCTGAATCAAAGGACGGGATTGGGTCTCGAGAAACTGAGCTTCTATAGTTTTGAACATGGATGTTTTTCTTCAGAACACTGCTAAAGTTAAACCCCAAAACTCGAGCTCATATTTTTCCCATCTTGCATTTTCAGAAGTGTATCTACCAATGATCGTACCAGCATGTTTACAGGAGAGATAATAATAAAATTACCAAAGAAAAAAAAATGTAAACGTTGAAATTACGCAAGGTATCTGTTAGTTTTCAAGTCTAAAAATTGTAAATGGTGTTTGTTTTGCTCTTAGAAAGAGATGTTATGATTTGATCATACACATTGATTTTCTCCTCACATGATTTGCAATAAAAATTGACAGTTTGAGAACTTAAAAAAATAGATCAAGAACATCTGAATACGAAGAAGTTAAAACTAGAAGTCCGGGCGTTAAGGCATGTGGAGGGTGCGATAACAGCCCGGACCATGGCGATAGCAGTAATTGTACCATATTGTAGCCTTCACGCTAACAAAGCGAGACCGTCCAACACAATGCTTCCCCGCGAACTAGACCATAACCACACAAACAGAGCTAATGTCACGCTCCGCAATACAAAAATGGCAATTTTCTGCAGGAAACAAATTTTCACTTACTAAGTTACTAGCAAGACCAGAACTAGAAGTTTTCAATATTTTTTTAAAAGAATGATGTTATAAAAAAAATGTGTACTTACCAGAGGGGAAAGGCATGCTGATGAAAGCTGATGTGGCCGGTGTGTGGTGCCTGGAGATGGCGTATGAGATGCCTTGCAGGGCCGGTGTGGGGAGGGTCGTGGGCAGGGTGGACGCGAAGGAAGGCACGGTGGTGGGCACGGCTGTTCTCGGGACGCCGAAGTGGCTGTGTCCCGTCGTCGGTGGGCTGCCGGTCGCCTGAACACAGAGCAGGCACTGTCCGAAGATCGCCGCCGCGTCCTTCCGCGGGTACAGCCCGAGCTGCGCCGCCGTCAGCGGGCTGAGGGGGCCGCGGTGCCCGACGCACGCCGTCGCCGCCGCCGCTTGAGTCGACTTCGCCGGCGACATGTCCCTTTGAATAAGTGAATCCACGAGAAAAGATCGCGACATCGTATGGGAAAAGGCAAACACCCTTGCCGAAGTACACTCTGTAGTAAAACTGGACGAAGCGCACCCACGAGGTTTAAAACACGGAATAACAAAGTTTCAGTTCTTGCCTCGCTTTTATACCTGCTCGGACCTTTACAGCTCACGTGGACTTCACAAAGGCGACGACGCGACGTATCTCTTCATTCGGTGCTGCATACAATTAACGTCACCAAACGAAAGCAATAGAGGCTTTTCTATACAGGGGACATCTGATCCCTGAAAGGCTTCCTGGGTGCTATACAGGCCCGCCGGTATTGTCTCCGCCTCATGTGCGCACAATGTTACGTCGATTGGCGAGGTTTGAATCCAGCAGGAGTGAGGACGGCACGCGCTGTGGAAGGCACGGCGACACCGCCCGGAGTTCTAGGGCACTGCCTTCTGACCTCACCTCACGGAATTACAGACTCCGCGACAGCCAAGGCGTCTTGAAGGGGAGCCACGCGGTTTATGGAGTTCCCGCCGAAACCGCAGACTTCATTAAAGCCTACCTTAGTGATTATCATTTATATTTCCAAGACGTCGTTTCACGGTCTAACGGGCGTCAATGGC